TTATCTTAGGTGAAAGGAAGGACAGCACACACTACAGGGGAAGTCAGCACAACTAGACTAAACCAAAAGCTAAGAAGTTTCCTGAATACAACAAAACACTTAAAGGAACAGAGTAGCAGGGGTGGGCATCTGGGGACCATAGTTTCGGGGACATCTACGTCAATTGGTATAATACAATTTATTAAGAAAACTTCTCCATCCCACTTTGGTGAGTGGCATCTGGGGTCTTAAAAGCTAGCAAGTGGCCATCTAAGATGCATCAATTGGTCCCAACCCACCTAGAGCAAAGGGGAATGAAGAACACCAAAGACGCAAGGAAAATATTAGCCCAAGAGACAGAAGGGGCCACATAAACCAGAGACTCCATCAGCCTGAGACCAGAAGAACTAAATGGTACCCGGGTACCACCAATGACCCCCCTGGCAGGGAACACAACAGAGAGTCCCTGATGGAGCAGGAGAAAAGTGGGGTGCAGAACTGAAATTCTAATAAAAAGACCAGACTTCATGGTTTGACTGAGACTAGAGGAACCTCAAAAGTCATGGCTCCCAGACTAGTAGCCCAGAACTAAAACCATTCCCGAAGCTGGCTCTTCAGACAAAGATTAGACTGGACGATGAGACATAAAATAATACTCATGAAGAGTGTGCCTCTTAGTTCAGGTAGATACATGAGAATAAATGGGAAGCTCCTGTCCGGAGGTGAGATGAGAAGGTAGAAAGGGGTAGGAGCTGGTTGAGTGGACACAGGAAATCTGAGGTGGAAAGGAGGGGTGTGCTGTCACATTATAGGGAGAGCAACTAGGGTCACATAACAGTGTGTATATAAATTTTTGTATGAGAAACTGACTTGGGCTGTAAACTTTCACTTAAAGCACAATAAAAAAAAATTAAATCTTTGTGGGTATCTCTGATTATTTCCTTAAGAGAAATTCTGAAAAGTGAAATTATCATGTCAAAATATCTGAAATTTTTAAAAGTTCTCCCTACACATTGCCAAGTAGTATTCCAAAAACGTTGAACCAATTAATATTCTCACCACCAGTGACTGCAAGTAGCATACCCTCACCTGCATTCGATATCTGCTCTTTTTCTATAATTGCCAATTTGATAGGGGGAATATTTTGTCTCATTTTTATTGTGTATTTATTTGATAACTAGTAGGGTTGAACTTTATACATTGTAATTAAAAGGATACACTCTTTAGGCCTGTCATATTGGATTGATGGGAATATAAGTAGTTAACATGCTTGGCTGCTAACTGGAGGTTGGAGGTTTGAGTCCACCCAGAGGTGCCATGGAAGAAAGGCCTGGAGATCTCCTGAAAAACATCAGCTATTAGAAACCCTATGGAATGTGGTTCTGCTGACACACCTGGGTCACTATGAGTTGTAATCTACTCGACAGCAGCTGGTTTTTACAACAGAGTAATACTACACAGCCATTAAAAAGAATAAGGTAGTCACTCAGCGGTAGCCACTGTGCAAACCAGACTCTCCCTTTTGTGCCTCACTCCTGGCTTCCTCTGCAATCACATCTGACAAACCTGATACGGCTGAGACTGAGAAATTGGTAAGTCAAAATTGAAGAAGACAGAAACAATGAAGAAGAAACCATTGAAGAAGACATAAAATCCACTGCCTTCGAAAGAAACCCTTAAAGGAGAAGCAAGTAGGTGAATCATAATGAACATGTGCCACCAACATGCACTGTATATCTCCAAACCTTATTTTACTTCATTTAGCTGTTTAACTTTGTAAATGCAAAAAGATTAGATCAAGTTTAAATGACTGTGCTGCCCCTTTCACATCAAAAGCACCAAGATCTACTGGCTGTGCTTGCCTCTCCCATCTACCTGCGTGGCTGGCGGGAAAGAGAAAGAACTTGCGTGCTGGTGATAGAAGAATCTGGGTGAGATGATGGTGAATCTAGAGTAAAAGCAAAGTTAGTCCAATGTGTCCTGTAGGCTGTAGTAGGCAGTTTAATCAGAGTGCTTTTTTGTTGTTGCTGTTATTCAAATGATTTTAATTACTAGAACGCACACATTTTAAAATAAGCAAATAAATAGTTTTAAAACCTGAAAAAGGAATAAAGTATACATATATATATGTATACACACACACACATATATATGTGTATATATACATATATCCTAACAGAAAAATATTTATGGATATTGTTAAGCAAAAAAAAGTCACTGAACAGTATAATAGCATAATCCATTTTGTGTAGGTGCGTTAAATAAAGTATATGTACGTACATACGTACTACCTTATACACTTCGGTACTATTTGAATGTTTTTTACAATGAGCATGTGTGTTACTTTTTATATTAAAAATATTTTAAAAGAACTGATGCTCTTACAATAGCAAGTAATATATCCAAAGGATAAAAATACTAAGAATAAAGTTTATACCGATAATAAAAAGAAATCTCTGATAATAAATACAAGAGAATAATAACTAAATACTAGATAATACCAGCAAATATCAAATAAAGAAACTAAAGGATAACATTAAGCCAATACAGGTAGTCCCCAATTTACGACATATTCGAGTTACAAAGAACTGCACTTACAACCATCTGGTTTTTTTTGTTTGTTTACATCTTATTGTTAGTGATATATACTACATGTACAGTGTTACAGAGTATAATTTGCTGGTGTTATCATTCTCAGATTTTCACTCACAGATGTTCAGTGTTATGGTTTACTGTACAAAACACTGCCATAGAGCAGGCTATGAAAACTAAAAAAAAAAAAAGAGATATTGGACTTACGTCAGAACCGACTTATGATGTAGTCATCAGAACAGAACCCCGTCATAAGTCGGGGACTACCTGTACTCAACATTTTGTATAATAAAGGTTTTTCAACAGATATTTATTCTTCACCCCCAGTGTGCAAGACATACAGTAGATTGCAGATTAAAATAATCTAAACATAGAAATAACTACAAGAAAAATCTTGCTGTAACAGAAGGGGACACTAGCAAAGTGAGTTCATTAAATTAAAAAGGAGTTGATTTCACATTTAAGATTGTTGAAAAGACATGTTCCTGATGCCCAACAAAGAAAAAAGTGGGAGAAAATACTGCAGATAAAAATAATTTTGAAATGAAGTCATGAGTAATTCAATTTTTGATAAATTATTCTAACGAAATAATTAGCAATATGAACACGGATTTGTGTACAGAAATGTCAGTTGCCTTTGTTTTATCTGTTGCTCTTAAGTATTTTTCTCCCTGGAAGGCTTGACTGCTAGCTGAAAGGTTGGTGGTTCAAACTCACCCAGAAGTGCCTTGGAATACACGCCTAGCGATCTACTTCTGAAAGGTCACATCCTTGAAAATGCTATGGAGCAGTTGTACTCTGCACACATAGAGTCACCTAAGTCAACAGCAGTTGACAACAACAATAAAGTATTTTTCACTTCACTTTCTCAAAAGTTATATACTACAAGAATATGTTTCCATTAAACCTTCAAACAATGCAGATAAAATGAAAGTCCCCCTTAAGACTCCCAAATCATTCCCAGTCTCTTCCCCAGAGGTAGAGATCAGATTGGTGATAATGTCCTTCTGTACTTTGTAGAAATAGATACTTTTGTTTTCTGATCTTTTATTTCTTATGCAAATAATAGTAAGCTGATGAATACTTCTTGAGCACTGCTGTGTGCCAAGCATTGTTCTAGATTCTGTAGTAGTACTAGATATTGTAACTGGAACAAAATAGACCAAAATCCCTGTTCACATAGTGCTTAAATTCTAGGAAAGAAACTCAGCAGTAAGTAAGATAAATAAGTAAAACATGGAGTATGTTAAGTGCTAGAAGAAAAGATGAATCAGAAAAGGGGGCTATGAAATGCCAGGGAGGGAGTGGTATTTTATATAGAATGGCCAGGGAAGGCCTCACCGAGATAGTATCTTCTGAGTAAAGACCTAAAGAAAGTGAAGGGGCTACCTATGGGAGTATCTGGGAGAAGGCCATTCCAGGCAGAGGGAAGAGCAGGTGCAAGGACCTGACACACATGCCCCAAGGACAGAAAGCAGGACAGCGTGGTTGGAGCCCAGTGAATAACAGGGAGAACAGTAGGAAACAAGTGGTGGGAGTGCAGATCATGTCATGTAAAAAAACAAAAAAATACCAAAACTGTTGCTGTGAGTCGATTCTGACTCATAGCGACTCCATAGGACAGAGTAGAGCTGCCTCATAGGGTTTCCAAGGCTGTAATCTTTATGGAAGCAGACTGCTACATCTGCTACATCTTTCTTCTCGGAGAGGCTAGTGGGTTTAAAACGCTGACCTTTTGGTTAGCAGCTGAGTGTTTAACCACTGCACCACCAGGCTCCTTTCATGTCATGTAGGGCCTTGTTTATAAGGACTTTATTGAGAAGTCCTTGAAGGATTTTGAGCAGGAGAGCAACACAATCAGATTTACATTTAAAGGGAAGTATTGGTCTGCTGTATTGAGAACTGACTGCAGGACGGCAAGGGCTGAAGCAGAGAGACCAGTTAGGGTATTGCTATTCTACAATATGTATTATGCTACAACTTGGTTTTTTTCTTTTTCTTTTTTCTTCACTAACAATATGTCTTAGAGATCTTTCATATCAGTATCTGTAACTCTGCCTTATTCCTTTTATCTGCCTCATGTTATTCCACAAAATGGATATTGTTATATTTAACCAGTTGTCTGTTGATGGGCATTTAGGTAGTTTCTGTTGTTTTACTATTAAAAACAATGCTGTAGTGAAAATCTTTGCATATGCCTCTTTGTGGATACCAAGAAGTAGAATTATCACATTCAATGATCAATCCTGTTTGTCTTGCACTGAATTTAGAATTTAATTGGGGAAAAATTGATATCTTTATAATATTCAGTCTTCATATCCAGGAATATGATACATCTTTCCATTCCTTGCTCAAAATATATTTAAAGTTATTAATTTTCATATGATGAATTTGTTTGACCCTCACATGTGTTTTTTTATTTCTTTTAGTGACTTCTTGCTACTAGTTTTGAAGGACATTGTGTTGCAGAGGCCAACTCTTCAAGTTATTCTAATGAGTGCAACCTTAAACGCTGAGCTCTTTTCAGAATATTTCAATTTCTGCCCAGTTATTACCATACCAGGTAATTAAAATGCATCATTAAAAATTTATTGTTCTAATAAAAAAACCCATTAACCTTCGAGTCAATTCTGACTCATAGCAACCCTATACGACAGGGTAGAACTGTCCCATAGGGATTCCAAGGAGCAGCTGGTGGATTCAAACTGCCAACCTTTTAGTTAGCAGCCGAGCTGTTAACCACTGCACCACCAGGCTCCATAAGCAAATATAATTATTTTAAAGTGACATAAATGAATAGGTATTTATACCTCTTTCTAGAGGAGGGATGATTGGTTTATAACAAAATTATAGCCATCCGGTAAAATTGATAAGGAGGTAACATTATATCCATTTGCCAGGAGAATTCAATTTTGTATGTGATTTCTTTTTCTTAACTCTTCGTTATTTCTATCATTCTACCATATTTAACACTAAAATATGAGTTTATAGTAGTAATCTGTCATAAAGAGGAAAGTAGTGTCTGTGTATAGTGTATTTGTTCATTGCTGGATTCTGCTAAATTTCAGGATTTTGGTTCACTCTGGGAAAAGTTAAGCTAGATAGTCTGTGTTTTCTTTTAGTGCCTGTCTTAGTTATCTAGTACTGCTACAACAGAAGTACCACAAGTGGATGGCTTTAACGAACAGAAATTTATTCTCTTGATGTGTAGGAGGCTAAAAGTTTGAATTCAGGGCGTCGGCTCCAGGGGAATACTTTCTCTCTCAGTTCTTGGGGAAGGTCCTTGTTATCAGTCTTCCTCTGGGTCTAGGAGTTTCTCAACACAGGGACCCCAGGTCCAAAGGACACGCTCTAATCCCAGTACTTATTTCTTGGTGGTATGAGGTCCCTCTTTCTCTCTGCTCTCTTCTCTTTTTTATATCTCAAAAGAGATTAACTCAAACTACAACCTAATCCTATAGATTGAGTCCTGCCCATTAACATAACTGTCTCTAATCCTGCCTAGTTAACATCACAGAGGTTAGGATTTACAGCACGTAGGAAATCACGTCAGATTGCAGAATGGTAGACAACCACACAATACTGGGAATCATGGCCTAGCCAAGTTGACACACATCTTGTGTGGACACAATTCAATCTATAACAGTGCTTTCACGTCTCATTGTGGGATTGATTTATCTCCTGAGCTTTGATTTATCCTTCTGCATTTGATTACCAAAGTGACAACTTGGAAGCATGGATTGATGAATAATAGTACTATTTGTCCTAGTCATAGAGGATGTTGACAATAGAGTCAAAAAAGAAACTATATGCTTTATCTAGAATATAACTGAGTGTTTAGTGGTCCACAGTGGGGGAGGGGGTAAGGGTGAAAAGGGGTAACAGGTAAAAAAAAAAAAAGTATTATTAGCAAATTGTCATTTTCGTCACCTATACATTTTTGTTTTCTTTACTGTCTTCGTTATCGAGTGCTACTGTAACAGAAATACCAAAAGCAGGTGATTTTAACAAAAAGAAATTTAGTTACTTAAAGTTTACAAAGCTAGAAGCCTGAAATCAGGATGCCAGCTCTAGAGGAAGTCTTTCTCTCTCTGTAAGCTCTAGGGGAAGGTCCTTGTCTCTTCAGCTTGTTTCCTAGTTGTTTGGAAATCTCCATGTGGCTTGGCATCAGTCTTCCCCCATCTTTACTTCTGTTGCTTGCTTGTTTAATCTCTTTTATATCTCAAAATAATATCCATACACTTATAAGGAAGACCAGTTAATACAACTGTTATTCAAATTTATGCATCAGCCACTACTGAAAAGATGAAGAAATTGAAGATTTTTACCAACTTCTTCAGTCTGAAATTGATCAAACATGCAATCAAGATGTACTGATAATTGCTGGTAATTGGAATGTGAAAGTTGGAAACAAAGAAGAAAGATCAGTAGTTGGAAAATATGGCCTTAGTGATAGAAAGAGATCACATGATAGAATTTTGCAAGACCAGCGACCTATTCATTGGAAATACCCTTTTCAACAACATAAACGGCGACTGTCTGTATATATAGACCTCGCCAGATGGAATACACAGGAATCAAATCAACTACGTCTGTGGAAAGAGACAACGGAGAAGCTCAGTATCAGTCAGAACAAGGCCAAGGACAGACTTCAGAACAGACCATCAATTGCTCATATGCAAGTTTAAGTTGAAGCTGAAGAAAACTAAAACATGTCCATGAGAGCCAAAGTACAAGCTTGGGTATATTCCACCTGAATTTAGAGACCATCTCAAGAATAGATTTGACACACTGAACACTAATGACCGAAGACCAGACAAGTTATGGAATGGCATTAAGGACATCATACATGAAGAAAGCTAAAGGTCATTAAAAAGACAGGAAAGAGAGAAAAGACCAAAAGATGCCAGAAGAGACTCTGAAACTTGCTCTTTAACGTAGAATAGCTAAAGCAAATGGAAGAAATGATGATGTAAAAAGAGCTAAACAGAAGATTGCAAAGGGCAGCTCGAGAGGATGAACTACAATAATGAAATGTACAAGGACCTGGAGTTAGAAAACCAAAAGGGAAGAACACACTCAGCATTTCTCACGCTAAAAGGACTAAAGAAGAAAATTCAAGCCTAAAGTTGCAATAATGAAAGATTCTACAGGCAAAATATTGAACGATACAGGATGTATCAAAAGAAGATGGAAGGAATACACAGTTACTGTACCAAAAGGAATTGGTCGATGTTCAACCGTTTCGGGAGATAGTATATGATCAACAACTGATGGTATTGAAGGAAGAAGTCCAAACTGCACTGAAGGCATTGGCAAAAAACAAGGCTCTAGGAATTGGTAGAATACCAATTGAGATGTTTCAACAAACAGATGCACTGGCCATGCTCACTCATCTATACCAAGAAATTTGGAAGACAACTTACTGGCCAGCTGATGAGAGGAGATCCATATTTGTGCCAGTTGCAAAGAAAGATGATCCAACATAATGCAGAAATTACTGAACAATATCATTAATATCACAAGTAAAATTTTGCTGAAGATAATTAAAAAACAGTTGCAGCAGTACTTCAGCAGGGAACTGCCAGAAGTTCAAGCCAGATTCAGAAGAGGACGTGGAACAAGGCATATCACTGCTGATGTCAGATGGATCCTGGCTGAAAGCAGAAAATACCAGAAAGATGTTTACCTGTGTTTTATTTACTATGCAAAGGCATTTGACTGTGTGGATTGTAACAAAATATGGATACCATTTCAAAGAATGGGAATTCCAGAACACTTAATTGTGCTCATGAGGAACCAGTACATAGACCAAGAGGCAGTCATTCGAACAAAACAAGGGTACACTGCATGGTTTAAAATCAGGAGAAGTATGTGTCGGGTTTGTATCCTTTCACTGTATTTGCTCTGTCTGTACGCTGAGCAAATAATCCGACAAACTGGATTATTGAAGAAAAATGCGGCATCAGAATTGGAGGAAGACTCATTAACCTGCAATATTCAGATGACACAACCTTGCTTGCTGAAAGGGAAGAGGACTTGAAGCATTTACTGATGAAGATCAAAGACTACAGCCTACAGTATGGATTACACCTCAACATAAAGAAAACAAAAACCCTCACAACTGGACCAATAAGCAACATCTTGATAGAGAAAAGATTGAAGTTGTCAGGGATTTCATTTTACTTGGATCCACAATCAACATCCATGGAAGCAGCAGTCAGGAAATCAAATGATGTATTGTATTGGGCAAATCTGCTGCAAAAGATGTCTTTAAAGTGTTAAAAAGCAAAGATTTCACTTTGAGAACTAAGATGTGCCTGACCCAAGCCATGGTGTTTTCAGTCACCTATGCATGGGAAAGCTGGACAATGAATAAGGAAGACCAAAGAAGAATTGACACCTTTGAATTATGGTGTTGGTGAAGAATATTGAATATACCATGGACTGCCAGAGAAACGAACAAATCTGTCTTGGAAAAAGTACAGCCAGAATGCTTCTTAGAAGCCAGGATGGCGAGAATTTGTCTCATGTACTTTGGACTTGTTACCGGGAGGGACCAGTCCCTGGAGAAAGACATCATGCTTGGTAAAGTAGAGGGTCATCAAAAAAGAGGAATACCCTTAATGAGGTGGATTGACACAGTGGCTGCAACAATGAGCACAAACATAGTAACGATTGTGAGGATGTTGCAGGACTGGGCAGTGTTTCGTTCTGTTGTACATAAGGTCGCTGTGAGTCAGAGCAGACTTGACAGCACCTGATAACAACAACAACCTATCGCAAAAGAGATTAACTCAAGATACATGCTACAGTAACCCTGTCTCATTAACATAACAAAGACAGCCCATTCCCAAATGGAATTATAACCACAGGCATAGAGGCTAAGATTTATAACACATATTTCTGGGAAACACAATTCAGGCCATAACATTTACTAACCAATTTCTATCATCAAAAACATTTTTTGATAGTTTTAAGACCATAAAACAAATAGCACCTTACTGTGTCAAGCTCTGTTAATTTTAAGAGAATTTTACTTAATACAAACTGTTTCAAGATAGTTTAACAGGTATCGTGAAGCATTTTCTATTGTTTTTTTAGGTCGTACCTTCCCTGTTGATCAGTTTTTTCTGGAAGATGCAATTGCTGTGACAAGGTAAGACAGATATTAGTTAAGGTTCATTGAAAGTCATTGAAAACAATTATTATTTTGCCCACAGCATGCCAGGATACTAGTAAATACGTTAGTCTTCTAATTTTTCTATTTGAGCATTTTGTTTTCTCCTTTATTTCAGCAAATATGTATTATATGAATTATTTGCCAATTGCAGGCAATGTTATATGTCGATTAAGAGTACCAACTCTGGAGACAGACTGCTAGGACTTAAATCCCTCCACTTACAAACTTTAGAATATTGTTTAATCTTCCTATGCTTCAGTTTCCTCATATATAAAATGGGTATTACCATTCTACCTTTAAGGAGTTTGCAGAATAATATGAGAGTAATTATGTATTGTCTTCTGTTTGCTCCTGCTTCTATCCCTAATAAGCTTCCCTGCTAATTCCATAGTTACTTAATGATACAATATTCTCAAGCTAAAACCCCTTTAAAATTTTAGCATGCAATAAGAATACTTGAGCTTATTAAAATTGTTAATTTCTGGGCTTTACCCCACTCCCATTGAATATGAATCTCTGGGGAGATAGATCATCTTTCAACTAGTTTACCTATCTTTATTTTTTTACTTTTTCAAACTCATTGCCTCCAGAATTCTCTTAAAACATAGACTTGATCATGTCCTTCCTCTTCTTAATAACTTTCATTGGCTCCCCATTTCCCACACTCTGTGGACACTCATGGCTCACATCATGTGACCTCAGCCTACATTTAACCTCCTTTCCTACTTTAATTCTTCCACCCACACAAAGCTTAGCACCCTCAGACTACTGGCTGTTTCTCAAATACGCCATACCATTCCCATCTTTATGTCTTTATTCCTTTCTCCCTCTTCCATATATACTCATTGTTCAACACCCAGCTCAAATGCTACCTCCATAAAATTTCCCTTTTTTCTTCTAGTAGAAATTAATCACTTCTTTATCAGAAGTCTTAGGGCACTTTTTTTTGTGCCTCTAGTGACATTTATTTCCATGTGTCTTACAATATGGTGAGTTGTTTTGGTCTGTCTACCCCTATCAGTTTGTAAGTTCCTTGAAAGTGTATTCATTCTTATACACCACACCCATCCCTACAGTTCCCTGCACAAACTAGGCATTAGGTAAACATTAAATGAACAAATGAATGTTGAATGTGAGAGGAAGATATGGTGTTTGATGGAGAGGAGGAGTTGGAGGGAGTCAAAGATTATAGAATCATAGATGAATAGCTTTTTTGGTAAGCTTCAGTACACTTTCTTCAAGTGAAATCTTAAGAAATCATAAAGAAGTGGGAGCTGACCCACATGAACCACAACCTCCACAAGCCTGAGACCAGAAGAACTAGATGGTTCCCGCTGCCACCACTGACTACTCTGACCGGGATCACAAAGTTAGAGTGGGAGAAAGATGTAGAACAAAATTCAAATTCATAAAAAAGACTAGATTACTAGTCTAATAAAGACTGGAGGAACCCCTGAGACTAACTTGGTACTGAAGCCACTCCCGGAGAACACTGTTCAGCCAAATTATAGACAGGCCTGTAAAGTGAACAGTAACACCCATGAGGAAAGTGCTCCTTAAAATAATCATCTATATGAGACCAAAAGGGCAACATCTGCCCGAAAGCAAAGACAAGATGGCAGGAAGGGTCAGGAAGATTGGACGAATGGAAACAGGGAACTCAGGGTGGAAATGGGGAGAGTGCTGACACACTGCAGGGAATCCAGCCAACGTCATGGAACAATTTGTGTGTAAATTACTGAATAGGAAACGAATTTGCTCTGTAAACTTTCACCTAAAACACAATAAAATATTTCAAAAAAAAAAAAAGAGCGAGCTAAAATGGAAATGATCTGGCTGAAAATGGTGAAAGGGAGGACAGAGCCCCTGCATACTTACTATGCTCCAATCCCTTACCTTTCCCTGAGGCTCTGATAAACCTCTAGGGCTCCAAGAACAATGGTTTCAAACAACTTACCTAAAGGCCAAATCCCTCAAAGATGAGAAGATAAAACCCTTTGAGGCTGACTTGCTAAAAGTCTCATGGCAGGTTGGTTTAGTGGCAGACCTAGAACTCAAATGTAGAGTCTAGTGTTTTTTTTCATTTTATCGCACCTAATGGTATTATCACTAACAAAAACTAAACCAATCAGAATTGAGTTGTGAAATGTTTTAAGGACAGTCTTATGGAGATGTTCAGCCAGCAACCAGAAACGTGGGTCTAGAATGGGTGTAGCAAAGGAGAGTCAGCTGTGTGAGAGTAATAGTCGAAACTATGGGAGTGGATAAGATTGCCAAAGAAGAAAATAAAGTGGAGAGGGGTGTTAACTGAGGATGCCACTAGAAGGCTTACTTACGTTTGCAAAGCTGACAGAGGGAGAGGAGAAGTGAAAGAGTAAGCAGTCAGAAGTAGAAGGAACCCACAATATTGTGGTATCATGGAAATTGAGGGAAGATGAATTTTCAAGAAGGTGGTTAGCAGTGTCCCATGTTTCAGAGGTTAAAGGTGATGAGTGCTCTGCACTTAGAGCAGCTTGACCCTTGAAACAACGCAAAGAAGCATTGTTTTCAACTAACTGCTGGCAACAGCACATTTAACAACTTTATCAGCTGTAAATTTATCAACCTTAAATACTTCCAGCAAGACTTGAGGCAATTGTCCAGTGAGAGCTGTCTTTGCTTAACTTGAGAGAAAATTTATCAATTTCATGTGGGGGTAAGCTTTTGTGTAGCTAGTGTAAAAGTGATCCCATTGTTCATTGTCATTAATTTCTATTAGTTCTGGTATTTCCAGATTGACCTAGTCTAAAGGAAGATAAACCACTTTGAGTCATGGCCTGTAATGTATAATGAAACTGTGATTCTGGCCCATGAGATTAAAAATTTGAAGTGTGAATGTTTCCCCTTGTTAATTGTGCTCTGGGTTCTTCTTCCCTCGTGGACCCCCACCCCATTTATTCTTCTTCCACCACTCCATGACTTCCTGGGTAGAGCTTTCCCCTAAATTCTTATCTGGTCTCCCATCCTTATAAACTGGACAGAGCCAAAAGCATCCCTGTGTGTTCCCCACTAGGAACAGGGCACAGCCAGCAAGTGCTGTACTGGCAAAAGGATAGCACACGAGTTGGGCAGAAACAGCGGCATTCTGCTGAATGAGCACATAAAATAGGAGAGTACCTTTATTCCGCACCAGCAGACATACACACGTGTTCCCTTGTCTTCATCCCCCAGGTATGTGTTACAGGATGGGAGCCCATATCTGCGCTCCATGAAGCAGATTTCAAAGGAGAAGCTTAAAGCGAGGCGCAGCAGAACTGCATTTGAAGAAGTGGAGGAAGATCTGAGGCTCTCCCTTCACCTCCAGGATCAGGATTCTGTCAAGGATCAAGTGCCAGATCAACAGTTAGATTTTAAGCAGCTCCTGGCCCGCTATAAAGGTAATGTGCTTCCTAAGGAAATATTACAATTGTGCCAAAGATTTCCAGTATTTTCTCCCACTGTCATCCAGAAGAAGAAAAATATGGCTCTTGTTTCATTGTTACATTGTCTTTAATTCATCAGACCAACCTTAAACTTACAAAGATAGCAGTTCCAACACATACGTATATTATCATTGTTATTGTCTTTACCAGTGGGTTGTTTTTTTTTTTTTTCTTCCGATTATAAAAGGAATGTGTTCATTATGGAAAAATTGAGTGGTAGTAAAATACAAATTATATTTTGATATAATCTCCAATTTACAGAAGAGATTGCAAGACTGTGCAGTGAACTCTCGTATATGCTTTACCCCAGTGCACCAATTGCTAGTATTTTGCTTCATTTATTTTATACTTTTATCTGTGTGTGTATTTATTTTCCTGAATCTTTTGAGAGTAAGTTGAAGATAGCAGCTTTACCCAGTATGTATTTCTGAAGAACAAGGGTATAGTACAGTGATCAAAATTGGGGCATTTAATACTGATGGAATACTATTATTGAATCCACAATCCATATTAAAATTTGGCCAACTATCTCAATAATTAGGAGTCCCTGGGTGGTGCAGACGATTAAGCACTCAACTACTTGCTGCAGGGTTGGCGGTTCAAACCCACCCAGAGATGCCTCAGAAGACAGGCCTGGCAGTCTGCTTCTGAAAGGTCACAGCCTTGAAAACCCTTTGGAGCACTACTGCTCTGCACACATGGGGTCGCCATGAGTTGAATTGACTCGACTAACCACAACATTGCTATTTTTTTCCTGGTCCGGGATCATGCATTACATTCATTTGTCATATGTCTTTAGTCTTTTAAAATCTGGAACAATTTTTCAACCTTTGTGTGTCTTTTTATGACCTTGACATTTTTTTAAGAGTTCAGGCCAGTTATTTTGTAGTATGTCCCTCCATTTGGGTTTGAGGTTTCCCCAGGTCATGCTTTTTTCTTCTTTTTTCTTGGGATACCACAGAAACAATGTTGAGTCCTTCTCAGTACATCATGTCAGGAGGCACATGATATTGGTTTGTCCCATTATTGGCAATGTTAACTTGGATGTCTCCCAGGTATCTCTTCTCTGTGGTTACTATTTATTCCCATTGTAGTTAATAAGTCATTTGTGGAAAGATCTTTGAGACTATGCAAATATTCTCAAAATTTTACCCTCTAGTTTTAGCTTTATTCTTGAGCTTTTAAAATGATATCTTTTGAGCACCCGCCCTGTGCTGGGCATTTTTATTGATGTTACTGAGTATTCCCTCCTACCATGCCAGATCCTACCCAGCTATTCTTCATTCCTATGTGACCCTCTATACTAATAAGCTAGGCTGAACCTATGGAAACCTCAAGGCTACTGCTTTTGCCTTCTTCCTTAAAGCCTAGACTAGAGACAGGTCTCAGCTTCCCTTCTAGTTCTTTTACCTGGACCTCCTGCCCCGACTCCTGTTAGCCTTTCCAAAAATCGAGTACTTATCTTTCAGGTAAGCGCCTCTACATCCTATTACTGCTCCTTTAGGAGAAGAGGCAAGTGAGTTTTCCTTTTCTTTCTTCCACCAAAGACTCTATTCGCAGTCCTTGATGGGGAGTGGTAGTCATCAAAGAATAGTAGGGCATTGGTCATTGTTCTGCTATTCAGGAAGATATGCATAGCTCACAAACATTATTTCATTTAATCTTCCCAACATCGTGAGAAATAAAGTTAAGAGCATAGACTCTTGGAATGTTCTTATACACCCAGTTTCAAGTCCCAGGGTTCCCATAAAACTAACTATATGATCTCGGGCAAGTTCCTTATCCTCTTTATGCCTCAGTTTCCTTATCTATAAAGTAGGATTATAGTCGTCCCCCCTTTTCTGTGGCGGATATGTTCCAAGACCTCCTGTGGATGCCTGAAACTTCAGATAGTACCAAACCCTATATATACTATGATTTGTTCTATACATACATACCTATAATAAAGTTTAATTTATTAAATTAGGTGTGGTAAGATATTAACAACAATAACTAATAATAAAATAGAACAGTTATAACAATATATTGTAATAAAATTATGTGAATGACAGAGCAGAACGGTGTGAGATTGCATCATGTATGTACTCACTTAACATTTTCAACCGCAGTTGACTGAGGGTAACTGAAACCTTGGAAGGCGAAACCACGGATAAGGGAGGCTACTGTATTTGGGGAATTAAATGAGGTAATATAAATCCACAGTATAGTGCCCAGCCAGTAAGCACAGATTTTGGATTCAAATTAAAATGTGTCTGAGTCCTAGGTTCATGTTCTTTTTGTACATCATACCAGCAATTAATTTAATTTCCATATTCTGTTACATTATGGAACAGGAAAATCTCCTGGGTTCCTGTTTTGAAATTTCAGAATTTTCTTTTTAAGAATTATGACTGGATCTAAGGTACGCCTTTCTAATTTCAAGCACAGAGGTTACCAAGGTTCAGAAAGCACTGCTGGGGCTCCCTTTCTAAGAAAGGAGAAGAGAGGACTTGAGGTCAGGAAGCCTGGCCACTAGCTTCTGTGTGGTGCTGGGCTGATCACTTCGTTTCTCTGAGCCTCTGTTTTCCTGTAAAAAAAAGACTCGAACTAGATGATTTCAACGCTCTCTTTTACCTTTAAGAAAAGCAAATAATGTCCCTAGCTCAATTTTTAGAACTTTGTATAGTGTTTTTAAAAAATAATAGTTAGTCCTTTCAAGCAGATAATTCATTTATCCTTTTGGAAAAGTCTAGCTGTTTGGAATCTTGGCAGAGAATAGTGATTCCTGCTCTGCCTTTGCTCCCTAACCGCACTCTCGTTTGTGTAGCATATTTCTTTCGTTCTTTTTTGACCGACATAGGATTTACTCCCCCAGAACAACATTGTTTAGAAACTGCTCTTGTCCCTCCTCAGACTTCTCAGCATGGCCTGGGAAGCTTCCTCCATACCAACTAAAGTTATTTTGTTCCAGTTAGACTCTAGTTAGGGTGACAGGACGTTAGGAGGACACCAAGAAGAAAGGGCGGCAGTCTTGGGAGAGTTAGTTACCCCAAGAGTATACTGCTTGTTTTTAAAGGAGCTGAGGCCCAAAGAACATGTATCTTTTACTAGGCCTCAGATGGCTTGGGAGGAGATTGTAGACCCTTACCCTGAGGGTCCATGGATAGATGTCAGGGGGTTGGTGAACCCATTAAAATCACATGTATTAAGATCCATAATTTTGATTGTTTTCCCAAAGGAACCTAAAGGTTAAGAGTGACTGTTGTGAAGGTACTGGTAAAAGCTGTGGCATCTGTACATTGATTTCCATGGATTACTGTTACCTGGACTTCCTTCTGATCTGACTCATGTCACTGATTCTGGAAGGGGTTTCTGAAATGTGTTTCACTTTTCCTTTTGTTTCTAGAACATAGGCTTTCAGTAAATAATGTAGTGGGTGAAAGAGGGGAAACAGGGAGGAGAGTTAAATGTGGCCCATCTGGGCCTTTCTAGCAGGGGAGAAGCCTGTTCAAGCAAAAAGTGCTTCTGGCGAGTCTATTTTCTGAAAGACTGTAAGAAAAAAGTTCATGTTAGTACACTGAATGTCCATGTTATTCAGTCAAATCAAGACACTCCCTTTGTTCACAGGCACACTCTTCAGTAAGGTATAATGCTCTTTCTGATTTTGTCCTGTCTTTCAGGGTTTAGCAAATCAGTCATCAAAACAATGTCCATCATGGATTTCGAAAAGGTTAATCTTGAATTAATAGAGGCCTTATTAGAGTGGATTATGGATGGAAAGCATTCCTACCCTCCAGGTAACTGCTGCTTGTCTTCATTTGCGTGAGAGATGGCAAAAGAGAAGGGAGCTTTCTTCCTGAAGTAATGGGCACTGCGGGGATAGCCTCCCTTCCTGGAGCCCCCACCACTACCCCAGCTATGTGTTAAAGTTGCTTACTAGCTTCTAAGGGGGAGATTTTACCTTTTAGGTTCACTTTGTTTTTTCGTTCCTGCCAAGCAAAAAAGAGATGTTAACAATGCAAAGCCCAAAAAGAAGAAAGCTGAAAAGAAGGCTGAGTGGTCTACACACTTAACAGTCAGTCCCTGGCTAAGTGAGAGTCGGGTAATAAGTGTTTGAATCCCATGTAAACTCTGTGCCCACGGAGGCCAGGAGGCAATGGGGTTAAGAGCACAGGCTTTGGAATCTGGTAAACCTCTCAGCACTGCTAGTCAGGAATTCTGTAACTGGGATAAAGCACTTGTCTCTTCTATGCCTCAGTTTCCATGTTTGTAAAATGAAGATAGTAATATTTCTCTTGCATAAAGCTATTTCGAGGATTAAAAGAAACCATATGTAAAGTGCTTAGCACAGTGCCTGGCATATAGTTCCAAATCAAAAACCAGACCTATTGCCATCTAGTCGATAATGACTCATAGTGACCCTGTAGGAAAAAGTAGAACTGCCCCATAGAATTTTCAAGGCTGTAATCTATACAGAAGTAGACTGCCACATCTTTCTACCGCAGAGCAGCTGGTGGGTTCAAACCTCCAGCCTTTAGATTAGCAGCCGAGTGCTTAACCACTGTGCCACCAGGGCTCCTTGTCATATAGTTGACGCCCAGTAAATCTACCCCTAATAATGATAATTATACTAATGCATTTACCGTCATCATCATTATTATTATCACTGCTACTGCTACTATACCATAGAGCAGGCACTGCTTTCTCCCTTCCTCAGTGCCTTCCTGTCCCAAAGGCCTTCCTACCTCTCTTACAGCTCCTTCTCCCCACAGTGTGATCCCTCAGATCTTCTCATGACTGAATCCTTCACATCACTCCAGTTCCTGCTCAAATGCCACCTCTTCAGAGAAATTTTCTCTGACTGGCCTACTACTGTTGTCTCCTCTCTTTATCATAATACCCACACATGGTTTTTATTTTCTTTATAGCATTTAACGCCGTCTGAAATTACTGCTTTGCTTACTTGCTGTCTCCTTCAGTAGACTATAAGCTCCCTAAGAACAGGGGTTTCTTGTTCACCACTCTGTTGTGCAGACCCTAGAACATTGCCTAGCACCGAGCAAACGTTGGTTGCATGAATAAACAGAGGATAGCTAGTGTTGGATGATCATTAAATGGATTAATAGATTTTTTTAATCACATTGTGTGCTCATTATACAAGTGCTTAAGAGAAGTGAGAATGGCTGCCTTCCTCGCTTAGACTTTGATCATCGTGTGGTATTTCCTGAAGAGACTTAGGAGCCACACGAAACTATTGAAGTGCCTTGTTTCTCTTCTCTTGGCAAGTAGCCAGTGTTGGCTAATGCATTGTCACTGAATATCATGTTTTGTCCCAAAGGAAAAGACTGTTATGGGGGGGGGGATCAAGTAGAGTAGCCAAAGAAATGTCAAAAAATTACCTGAATTCAAAGCAGAGAAGATAATTAGGGAGTTGAGATATATCTGTGAATATTAAAGATATCCCTGACACAGATGGCCAAGCCATGAGGGCAGAGCAGATTAAGAGGCATAGAAAAATATAGACAAAAAATGTTTTTCCATCCATATAGGTTAACACTTAAATTGTTTGGCACTTTAGTAGAGAGGAGCATGGGGTATATAATAGAAGGAGCATGGATCTGGTGCCAGAACCCTTAGGTTTGAGGACAAGCACCGCTCCTGTTAATCCTGTGACTTGGCCAAGTTACTGAGTCACCTCTGACCGCTGTTGCAGCACCGTAAAGTAGGGGTACTCACAACCTTCTTAATGAGTGGCTGTGAGGATCCAGTGAGATAATGTATGTGAACATTTTTTGTATACTTTTATAAAGTGCTAAAAACAACCCTGAAAAATATGTTTTGACTTTCTTATTTTAGAGTTCCATTTTGTTAATAATTTAGATTCCTCATTTATTTTCCTCATTTATTTAGTGAGAAGAATAACTGTGATAAATAATAGGTCATAAGTTCCTTGTGGGCAGATCTTTGTTTTATCTCCCATCGCACCTAGCACAAAGCTGGCATACCTGTTGCCGTTGAGTGGATTCCAACTCATAGTGACCCTATAGGACAGAGTAGAACTGCCCCATAGGATTTCCAAGGAGCGGCTGGTGGATTTGAACTGCCAGCCTTTTGGTTAGCAGCCAAGCTCTTAACCACTGTGCCACCAGGTCTCCAAAACTGGCATAGACATCCAATAAATATTTGTGAAACTATTGGTAATTAATTAATGTTCTACTTCTTCAACATATATCTAAATTTAGATTACCAAGTTGGCCAGCCATTTATGGTTTCCTTTTCTCATTTCCGTTAAAATGTTTTTGGATTTAATTCATTAATAGCAAAGAGTCTTCTTGTCTTTTAAAGTTAGAAGGATAACTCTTCTTATAGAAACAGAATTTCCGTGGCCAGTGCACTGAAGAAGTGTGTTTAAAGAACCTTAAAGAACTTTGCTAATAACTTCTTGTATAACTTAAGGCATTACATTTTTCCACACCTCAGTTTTTCCTGTTGTAGAAGGATAATAATACTCCATTCACTTTGTAGTTATTAAGTCAGAGAATGTAGAAAAACATAATTTGTTCTTTATGTAAATCCTTGGGAACCTTACAAAGAAAGGAAAATTGACAGTGAAAATTCTTGGATTAATACTTTTTTTTGTTGTTTAAAATATCTTTCTCATCTAAATTAGTTTTTCCTTTTTTGTATTTTTCAATTTGATTCTTTTTATATACCCAGGTGCTATACTTGTGTTTTTACCAGGACTAGCAGAAATCAAAATGCTTTATGAACAGCTACAGTCTAATTCTCTTTTCAACAACAGGCGTAGTAATCGGTAAGTTACTTGCTTTATTCTGTTGCTGTTAAACCCAAAGATGAATGACCATAAGGGCCTCATTTACAGTCAGCACCCTTTTTAGACTCAGATATCACTCCTCAAGAATATGTTTGTTTATGCCAGCTGGAAATAGAGAACCTATTTGCCCCATGAAATCAGTTATTTCTATTCCATTAAAAAATAATATTTCTCTTTGCTTGGCATACTGACTCAGCAAACTCACACATAATTTCAGCTGGCAGATCCTCACAGGGGTGTAGGGGAGAGCCAGTGTTAGTAACAACAAAGAAATATTACTACCACTTTAAGAGAAAATGATTTTCAGTGGTTCCTATTCCAGCAGCAAGATGTACTTGGGTATATTTTCATACTTAAGAGGAAGAGTATTTGACAGATGAGCATTTCCTAGCAATATAAGAATAAAGTTTCTTACCTTACATCACTCTCTCTGCCTCTCTTTGCACTTAAACGTAGGGAAAAAATGGTTCTTCGCTGGTTAGTTTGCTCTAGGCTTGTTATTTATAGAATATCAACTGTTTATTCCTTTTGGTTATTTATTATTGAATTACACTCCAGTGTTTTTCCCAGGTTGATGCAAGATTTTTAGTTCATAAAAAACACATTGCCATCGACTCAACAGCAACTCATGGCGACCCCATACGTGTCAGAGTAGAACTGTGCTTCATAAGGCTTTCAGTGGCTGTTGTCTTACAGAAGTATATTGCTAGGTTTAGTCACAGAACTGAGTAAATATTTTGTAAGGATCAGAAAGAGCCTCCCCATTTAGAAGAGCCAGGCCTTGAGGTCAGATCGTGGAGAAGGTGCTGATACTTGGAGTCTTATAGTTTTAATGTTAAATCACCCACAGTGATCCGATTTCAGTGCTTTGTGCTAGAAGACTTACTGCAGTTTTATTTCTTTTCAGATGTGTTATTCATCCACTTCATTCATCTTTATCCAGTGAAGAGCAGCAGACTGTGTTTGTAAAACCTCCTGTAGGTGTAACAAAGATTATAATTTCCACCAATATTGCTGAGACATCCATAACCATTGATGATGTTGTCTATGTCATCGATTCTGGGAAAATGAAAGAAAAGAGGTATTCTCTATTGGTAATGTTAAGAGAGGGGCCAAAGATATCACATTTAGGGTGACACAGCTCCTAGAAGCTAATGCTATTAAGCCACATGGTTACTGTTTGGGAAAATGCATTATGAGAACTGTGTGTGGATGTGTGAGTGATTCATAGCCAGGACCATGATCCTTCAAGTCAAATGGAGGTGGAAAGTTTAAGGTTTTACCTTGGAAGTAATAAATTATATTCCTCTCTTTTTCTCATGTGCTTTTATACGTGCTTGAATAAAAAGCGTTGAATAAAGGAACTGTATGTATTGGGACTGGATACCATTTATCATTGGCACTAGGTTGCCCCCACGAGGGGCTCAAATATCCCAGGACACACAGGCCCATGTCCTCCTATAGATGTCTGGTGGTTCTTCTGTTCTGCTCATGTCAAGTAAAGCCTTGGACACATATTTGTAAAATAACTCTTCTTTATATTTTCTATTTCTTTATAGATATGATGCTAGCAAAGGTATGGAAAGTCTAGAGGATACTTTTGTGTCTCAAGCTAATGCGCTGCAAAGGAAAGGCCGAGCCGGCCGTGTCGCTTCTGGGGTCTGCTTCCATTTATTCACTAGCCATCACTACAACCACCAGCTGTTAAAGCAGCAGCTACCAGAAATACAAAGAGTGCCACTGGAACAGCTGTGTCTAAGGTTCATCTTCATTTTGTGCTCTGCTTCCAAAAGGTCTAAATGTTTCTAACCCTGTTTAAGTCCCGTGTTTTCTTTTTCCTAGTAGAGGTTTTGCTAAGTGTGGACACGGATGAACTCATTCATTTGCAAAGAAAGAGCTCTTCAGTGTTGCCTTTACCATTCTATTTAGCTTTTTGCATAAAAAAGTGTCTTACACTGCAGAGGATGGCCCTCAAATAGAGTTTAAGAATACATTTGTAAATCAAGAAAGTAATCCAACTTGTCAGGGAATTTCTTCTCTGGGCAACACCAATATTAAATAATCACAGGGAAAAATCTACAGCCTCATTATCAATTAGAGCAAAGTAATCAAAAACTCCTTGAAAGTGCCATTATTTACCTGATGAACAAACAAGAACAAATACCATAAAATAGGATATAATGAACAAATGATCAAACTTAATGTTATCAAGGCTGGGGAACCTTTGGTTCAACCTTTCTGAAAATTTGCTTGCCCTTATATAAAAATTCTAAAATCATCTATGCCCCTTGGACCCAGTTGTTACACGGTAGGGAGTATGCCTACAAAAAATAACCCAAAGGGGAAAAACAATTACCTGTAAGAAGATGTTCTAGCTCTTCTTTCATCCAGCAGCTAGATGTGTCTTGAGAGCCTTCTGTTTGCCAGGCATTGGGCTAAGCAGTAGGATACTGTAGGTAATAAGATGTCCCTGCTTTTAAGTATCCAAATCTAGTCGTAAATTGGGAAAGCTGATAAGCTGAACTGAGGTAGTAGCAGCACGAATGAAGAAGAACGCAGGGATTTCAGAGAGCTTTGGAAGCTGATTGACCGATGAGGGAAGATAGGAGAAGGGGAAAATGTAATAGGTATAGCACATATAATTTAAAAACAACTCAAATATACAACAGTAGGGAAATAGGTCAAATATATAGGCCAACGTGATTCATACTTTTAAAAAAGAAATTGAAATTAAATGGATTATGTCAGTGTATGTCTTAAAGTTAAAACACCTTGAGTAGAAATAAGCTAGGTACCAAATATATACACATTCATAAAAACTTGAAAGTGCATATATGTAGGTTGACATCTAGAAATGGAGTTAGAAGTGAAATGAATACAATTTTATACAGTAAAATCTGCAAAAACTGGAAACTGTAAGGTGCTAACCTGTCTGAGAAGGAAAACTCAAAATACTTGCCACTAAAATGAGCAATACAAAAGTTTTCTGCCCTGTCAAAGGTGGAAAACTTGGGAGACCCAGAAAATGAAGGCAATCCTGTGGAGTTCCAGCTCTCACAGGTTTCACTGTATATGTTAGATTTTTTTCTCTTCTGAAATTGTGCTCAAGGTCATAATTTAAAACAGTAGTTATTCAAGAGCTATCACAAGGCAGGAAACAGATTAATTTTATAAACAATAACTGGAAATTCAGATGTGAAAGAGTAAATGGATCATTTGAATTTTATTTCATAAGTTGAACCTACTGCTGTAGGAAGAACCATCTTGAAAGTTTGAAGAGAGGATTTTATTCTGAACCTGAAAAAGTTTCATAATCTGAATGTTTGTCTATAGTGTATTGCTGGGAGAACTAGATGATGTAAGACTTTTTAAAAATTCAAACTAGTATTGTCAATTTATAGAAGCACGTATCTGGGAAATTATAAATTATTTTCATTCAAGAAAAATACTATCTTATCCTTCTGTGTCTTGCCCCCAGGAATAAGATTGACAAATTATTTTGTTTTTCCTTTGTTCAGAATTAAAATCTTAGAGATGTTTAGCACTCATACTCTCCAATCTGTGTTCTCTCGGATTATTGAACCACCACACACTGATTCTCTCCGGGCCTCCAAAATACGATTACGAGACTTGGGAGCATTAACTCAAGATGAAAAATTGACCCCTCTTGGGTATCACTTGGCCTCTCTGCCTGTGGATGTGAGAATCGGCAAGCTGATGCTGTTTGGCTCCATCTTCCGCTGTTTGGATCCTGCTCTCACCATTGCTGCCAGTTTGGCCTTTAAGTCTCCTTTTGTAAGTAAACTGTGTTCATCTAAACTGGAGTCCCACAGGTCTCTAAGGGGACCATGAGGGGCTTCAACAGGTGTGTGAACCCCCTAAAAGTGTTCTTGTATGTTTTTTTCTTCTGTTTTTTTTTTGGTTGGAATTTTTTTTTTTTTTTT